TGACATTTTGATTTGCATACCATCCTACGAGAACACTGAACAATGTTCAGATGACTGCAGTAATAATTCCTGACGGCGGGTGCTATAATGACTCCTCACCAATCCAGGTTAAACTCACAAGTGACACAACCACCAAGTCACAAAAGCATAGTAGTTCAACATGAAGGTCCAAAAAAATGCAGAACACAACACAAAGAACTCACAATGGTTTTATAGGGTGATAAATCCCAACTGTAAAAAAAATGATATAAATCCTACCTCTGGCCAGGCAATGATGGACACTGACAGCTGACTTCAGGAAGGCTTAAGGAAAACAACTCAAATCAAGGATAGACTGCATCTATCCCATGCATCCCTGAGGACTAGCTCTGTGGGCTGGTGCAAGCATCTACAACAGACTCGCAGATAGAGAATAGACTGACAGCTGTCAAAGTGGAGGGGGGTTGGGGGCTGGGTAAAAAAGGTGATGGGATTAGCAAGAAAAAAGTTCAGATACAGACAACAGTATGTAATTACCAGAGGGAAAAGGGGTGGGGGGAGAAGAGGGTAAAGGAGGGATAAATGGTGACGGAAGGAGACTTTACTTGGGATGGTGAACATAATACGATATATACAGATGATGTACTACAGAACTGTACATGTTAAACCTATACAATTTTATTAACCAATGTCGCCCCAATGAATTCAATAAAAATTTAAAATAAATAAAAAATAAAATATAGTGTCAAATGAACCATCGCATTAGGCAGGACAACTTTCCTCAGAGAAGGAACCCTGAGGCATGCCCCAAAATAGTGCAGCTCATCAGAATACCTTTATTAATCAGGGACGAAGCTACACAAATGTACCCAGACTGAAAAGACTATTTTCAACTTGCAAAACCACAGAGGTAAATATAATTCTGACCTTGATGGCCCCACTAGAAGAGATTTCCAAACATGCTGGGGTGGGGCAGTGGGGATGAAAAATACCAAGCCATTCTGTACATGCTTTTTTTCCTTAACACACAACAGAAAACTTAGGGGGGAAAAAAAAAGCCACGGGATTTCAGAAGTCACTACCACCTTCGAAAGGAAAAATGAGAAATATGAGTTAAATAATCTGTGTCCTCCTCCACACCAAACACTCCCGTCACTTCCATCGCTCACTGCTGAGAGGCTCCAGCCTACAACCTGGAGTAGCAGACTTGATCCAGCTGTACACACATAAAGGAGTCTGAAGATAACCAAGACTTGTATACTTCCATTAGTCCTTTAAAAATGTACTTACTGCTATACGACAACTGACTTGGACTGTTCAGAAAATATCAATGCCATGAAAGACAGAAAAAGCAAGGGAACGGTCTTACATTAAAAGAGATTAAAGAGACATGAAAACCAAATGTAATACATGACTCTTGACAATGATGCTGGAGTTAATAAGCTATAAAGAACATTTTTAAAACTAGAAAAAAACTGAATACAGACTATATATTATATACTACTATATCAATGTTCAGTTTCTTTGTTTTCCTTTTATTGAATTTATTGGGGTGACACTGAATAACAAAATTATACAGGTTTCAGCACACGGTTCCACAGCGCATCATCTGTACACTGTATTTTATGTTCACCACCCCAAATCTCCACCCATTCAAGTTTCTTGAAGGTGATACCGATATTCTGGTTATGCAGGATAATGTCCCTGCTCTTAAGATACTTTCTAGCCCTGGCTGGCGTGGCTCAGTGGATTGAGTGCAGGCCTGTGACCCAAACAACCACGGTTCGATTCCCAGTCAGGGCACATGCCTAGGTTGCAGGCCAGTTCCCAGCAGGGGACACAAGAGAGGCAACCATCCATACGTTGATATTTCTCTCCCTCTCTCCTTTGCCTCTAGATAAATAAATAAAATCTTAAAAAAAAAGATAAACTTTCTAAAATATTTAGGGGTCAAGAGTTAACACTTCCAAATGGTTCTGATTAAAAAAAAAAAAAAAAAACCCTATGTAGAAAGGGATAAAGCGAATGTGGCAAATCTGTAACAGTCATAAGAAAGCTGGCTAGGTGGAGTATTCACTGTAGTACTCTCGTTTTACTGCAGGTTTGAAATTTTTTCAAAATAATAAAATGGAGGATAAAAAAATTTTGTCAAATTCTTAACATCACCTTGACCTTGAGCGCTTACTGGGCAGACCTGGGTTCTCAGATGACCAGCATGGTAATCAGCTGGTTCAGACTTTGGGGACCTTTTTTATTCACTCCTTAATAATAAGAAAGTAAATGCCTGCACAACTCCTGGGAGACAGTATGACAATAATGAGGCATTTAACAAGAAAGGAGTAATTAACATACTCATAACCTTGAATCTAGAATCCTAAACAGTTTTTAATAATATTAAGGCCTACCAACATGTGCCACCACGGTAAATACATTCATGGAATAAAGGAAACAGCAAAACTATAAGAAAAGTCTGATCCATTTTTTCAAATATTATTAATATAAATATTACTTAAGTGGCAGGTAGCAGAATATATGGGTTACTTTCATTTTTCCTGCTACATTTTGCTTTCTGTTCTATTTGCATATATTGCTTTTATAGCAAATCAAAATTAACAGACACACATAGATAATCACACAAAAATTCTACCAAAGCCATAGCACTAAACACCTTTCATTTTAGCTGAGATACGAGCTAAATGCCAAAGGCAGATCTTGGAATATCTTCATCAAAATTATCAGCAGTATTTATCATCAAATGGCAAAACAAAAGGATAATAAAGTGTAAGAATATAGCCATTATGTACTAATTCATTCATTAAATATGCATTTGACAGCTACTTTGCACAGCATCCTAGTGGATAATGAAATAAGTAAGAGCTGGTCCCTGCCCTCAAGGAGTTTGGTCTCACTAGGGCAACCAGACAAGCAAACCATTAATAACAACAACAACAAACCCCACAAAGAATATCAGAGGGGTGGTGTACCATTCCAACCAGCAAGACGCTACGAAGACTGAGCAACAAAGCCAAAGACAGATGAGAGGACACGCTGCATACATCTTCATTAACTCATCTCAGACAGGGTGCTGCAGACTCACAGAACACCCTCAAGTTTACAGCAGATTCATACAATGGTGTTTATCCAGTTACATTAAAATTAAAATGAAAAATTTAATTCAGTTCAAGTATTTATCAAGCATCAGCCCTGGCAAGTGTGGCTCAGTGGATTGAGTACCAGTCTGCAAACCAAAACCAAAGGGTCTCCAGTTTGATTCCCAGTCAGGTCACAGGCCACGGTTGTGGGTGGGTCCCCAGTGGGAGGCACATGAGAGGCAACCACACATTGATGTTTCTCTCCCTTTCACCCTACCTCCCCCTCTCAAATAAATAAACAAATAAACAAATAAATAAATCTTTTAAAAAATTCAACATTTTTGGTAAGATTTTTTAAAATGTATACTGGTATGACAGCTGTCACAATAAAATCTAACAAAATTGTTTCGAATGATGTTAAAGACAACTAAGTGCTACTACAACCATCATATGAGGAAAAAACGAACTTTTTGGCCAACTCAGTATTATGCTGCCTCTTAACAAAAAAAAAAGTCTGAAATACCAGAAATAAAAACAATACAGCCCTGGCTGTTGTACTTAGAGCCCCTCTCTAAAAACAAATAAATTAAAAAACCTTTGGGGGGAGGAGAACAGTATAGAAAACACACTTGACATGTACATTAACGGCAAGTTTTATGACTACAGGCTATACAGTTAGTTGATATTTGCTCAAGTTTTAACTTTGAATTAAACAAGTCTTTCAAAAAAAACTAAAATGGAAAAGTCTGTATATGGACTACTGCAATTTATAACTGCATTATGGAAAAACGTGTAAGGGAAAGCATCAGATTTTCAGTTTCCTCACAAGTCAACAGGTCATCTTGTCTACATCAGCAGCCAGGAAACTACATACAACCCCATGCCAAATGCATGTTGCTGGTTTTTTTGTTTTGTTTTTTAAAGATTTTATTTATTTATCTTTAGAGGGGAAGGGAAGGAGAAAGGGAGAGAAATATCAATGTATAGTTGCCTCTCATGAGTCCCCTGCTAGGAACTGGCCTGCAACCCAGGCATGTGCCCTGATCAGGAATTGAACTGTGATCCTTTGGTTCACAGGCCCGCACTTAATCCACTGAGCTACACCAGCCAGGGCTGCCTGTTGCTAGTTTTTGTAAACAAAGTTTTATTGGAACAGTACCAGGCCCATTCATTTGTGCACTATGTATGGTTCTGTTGCTAATTTTTGTAAATAAAGTTTTATTGGAACACATCCAGGCCCATTCATTGGGGCATTGTCTATGGCTGCTTTCCTGCTACAATGCAGAGTTGAATAGTTATGATAGAGATAGTATGGTCCACAAAATGCAACATATTTATTACCTGGCCCTCTTCAGGAAAAAGTTTGCCAACTCCTGGTTAAATGATTGCCATATATATCACGAATGGTAGAAAAATAATTAGCCTGTTCATTGCAGCTTTATTAAAGCTTTATTATGAACTCTACCCAATTTAAGTTCTCTTCCTTTGTAATTAGTGTCACTTAGTAAATGCTAATGAGTTTTTGAAAATCTACAAGTATGTTCACACTTCAGTTATTTTCCATAGAGTAGGTCTTACTTTAGCTGCCCAGTAATTTATCCTTCACAATATTATTACAAACAAAATCCTAATTAAGGCACATTTGCAATTACCATACCCCACACACACTTATCCCTCTATTGCATAGAATCTATAAAGACATAGACAAGGAAAAGCTGAATATAGACACAACAGCTAATATGACTAAATTATTTCCTAATATCCTGTTCACACTAGAACATCTCAGTCAACTGCCATTTAGGACCAACAGCATCAGCCATCACCTCCTTACTTATTAGACATGGACCTCATTCCAGACCTCCCAAGTGATTCTTATGCACACTAAAAGCTTAAGAACCACTACACTAAAACAGAGTTTCTATTACTTACTTTGAGTGTGAAAAGGCTGATTCGGCCAGGCAATTTATAAAACAGCCCCTCTCCTCCTCTTGAATTGGAATGTAGCATGGCGTTGAGACACGCAAGAGGAGATGTCCCACTGTAAAAGAATACAAGGATGAGTGAGTCACACAAATCCATAAATCTATTTACTCAAAGACCTAAGACCCTCTGACTCCTTCTTAATAAGAAGCACAGCAAGAAATAAAGAAAAAAAAAACAGATCCCATGATAATGATTCCACTTTGAAAGTGGGAAAAGAGTGCCGTGGACAATGTGACTTGGCAGGGCATCATCCTGCAAACTGAGGGTCGTCAGTCCAATTCCTGGTCAGGGCACAGGCCTAGGCTGCGGGATCAGTCCCCGGCTGGGGCACATGCAAAGGGCAACTAATTGATGTTTCTCTCCCTCTCTTTCTCCCTTCCTTCCTCTCTTAAAAAAAAAAAAATAGCGAAAGAGTAACATGAAATTCACATCAATCACACCCAGAGAACTCAGTTTTGAAAAAACACTGAGTGTTTTTTATTTATTATTTAAATAAAGAATTTTAAATTAACCCTGGCTGGTGTAGCTCAGTGGATTGAGCGCAGGCTGCGAACCAAAGGGTCACGGTTCGATTCCCAGTCAGGGCACATGCCTGGGTTGCAGGCCAGGTCCCCAGTAGGGAACACATGAGAGGCAACCACACATTGACGTTTGTCTCCCACTCCTTCTTCTTCCCATCCCCTCTCTCTAAAAATAAGTAAAATGTTAAAAAAAAAAAAAAAAGTCAAATGGATTTGGTACCCAATAGTGCTCAAACATTAAATCAAGAAAAGTTATTCATGGTCCTGCTGCAACAGTACACCAGAAAACAATGACAATTCAGTGAATTCGAGGCTACTTACTAGATCTGAAAATAGAAAAGCTGTCAAAAATACAGACAACTGCCCATTACTGTTAACTGAGCTTGGCACTAGCATGTGCTTAGTGGCTAGGCTCACCCGAGTACCTTCTCTTCCCTCTCCTCAGCATGTTAAAAAAAGTACAAATATATTAAGTAGAGCCTCTTAGCATTTTCCAGAACTGCAGGCCCTAATTTATGCAGTGTTAAAAATAATTTCCAAATCTAAAAAAGCCATTAAAAAAATCTATTACTTATTCTGCTTTGGAACACACTGGATACTAAAAAAGTTTTCACCAAGAAACCAATCTCTAAAAGAAACCTTGAGCAGAATCTGGAGTATCAAGTGGGTGTGCTAAAAATCTCTGTTACAAGGGGGAACAGCATGCTGGCAGAATCCTTCTGAGAACAGTGTAACTCCTACACATTATACCTCTCTGTCTACAAATTACAAGGCTGCTCGCTCATCACAGCCCCGTGACTGCTTCAGAATTCCTGTAAGAGCAAGAAGCAGAAACAAGTTAAGGTTCTTAATCCTGTTTGTCCCAAAGGGACTAGTTTACCTTCTATAGGCAGAGTGGTCCAACAGCAGTGCAGACAGCAGCATGACGAGAAGAACACCATAAAAACAAAAATAAAGCACAATTATAACATTACACAATACACAGATACTACTTAAATGAATGTCATGTAGACAATCCCGATCTTCCCTCCCCACAAAATATCAACTTGAAAAAGTCTGAACTGACAGCTAGAAAGTGAGTATCTTTTGACTCTAAGAAGCTAAAGCTTAACCAGCAAAAACATATGCTGCTTATTCTGAGTCCCAAGAAGTGAGTATCTTGAACTATCCTCTTTCATTTAAAAGAAAACCAGTTACTGGTTTTCATGCCTGCAATTCCTTTTGTGTTTCCAACTTGTTGCTTCTCCAGGAAAACCACCTCATAGGATAACAAAATCAAGGTCACTCCAAAATTCACTATATCACTAATGGCTAGACTCAGCAGGAAAAAAAAAAAAAAAGCCAGTGGATTTTATGATGATAAGATCGCCCTCCTTTGATCCTAATGCAAAGAACTTCATAGATACAGTATAAAGAGAAGGGTACTTTTAGACTCCGTACAGCTTATCAGAGTCCATCCCTTCTCTACTACTGAAACTTACAAAACAAAGTACAAGAGAAAATGTGCAGACTCCATACACACACAAAAAAACAAGCTCCACGTCAAGACATAAGGGAGAGCGAGGGTGAGGAAAGCCACTGGACCTCTGATGAAAAGAAATGGATGTTCACACTCCCACCCTACGCTCAGGAGGACACACAACCTGAGACATTCCATACCACCACCAGACACGAATGCATGAGTGTGCACACGTATGCACATGTGGACTTATTACTAGGTAACTACAGAAGAACACAGGTACTATGAAACCCTCGTGTTAAGCAACAAAAGCAATACAAACCTCATTTCCTTTAGTCCTTCTGCTTCTATGACCTGCAGAATCTGTTTTGGTGTCATTGGAGCATCTGAGTAGTTTTCTAGCACCTAAAGAAATATAAATGTTCTAAATTCAGTATACTATTTCTATTTATATCCACCAATCCAATCATGGGCTACAGTTCTGCTATGAGATATCACTGATGACAATTTCGATATTTCCACAGTTAAAATTACTTCAGAAATGAAATTATATACATAGTTGCTAAAAAGACTGCAATTAACTGAAATATTCTAATTCTCAATTTCTTAAATCACACTGTCTTAGCAATGCTGGTTACTGCTTAACTTGGTAATGTTATATGACTAAACCAACGAATACACAGTGCTATGCAATAATTTATAAGACAGAAATGCATTCAGATTTTCTTTCCCAAGGAAATTTGATTAGTACCCACATTTTTAAATGATTTTCACCACTGAGTTGTGAAATCCTGATGTTAACTGCCACAGCACTGTTTGCCATTTGGCAACATGATGCTTATCTATGTCCTACATGATTGGTACGAGCAAAACAATGAGGAATACAACATCTCATTTATGTCAGAATCATCTATAAGTCATGGCAGCAGTTTCTCGGTGAGCAACTGCAGCTCTGTGACTTGAAGAGGTTCAGCTGTTTTAAAAACGTGGTCCTACTCAGGCAGAAAAGGACAGGCTGTCAATATCTTTGTACTGCCTCTACCTGGGCAGGTGGTGGGGTTACCCCAAACCATACGAACATCTTGCAGTCATTCAACAATGGCAGCAAAGTACTGCTCTGTCATGAATACTGATACAACGTCAAGTAGGAATTGTGACAGGACTGCAGCTGAAGGTTGCCACTGTGGAGAACATGTACTCTCAGCGTGAAAAAAAGTCAACTTTTGGAGCAGTAGATGCTCAGATAAAACCCCCATTCTTAACTTCTCCCTTTTCAATTTTCATTCTCCTTGAGTAACATTATCGTCTCTCACAATTTCAACTACTACCTAAATTCTGATTATGAGAATCATAATTAGATTCTCACCAGAATATGCTAACCCAGACTTCTCCCCAAACTTCAGACTCAAATATTCAGTTCTGTACTGAGCACCCCCCTTGACTGTCTACTCTGATTCTTCCGCCCTCTTCCTGCAACAGTCTAGTTCAGAAACCTAGGAGGCATCCTTCACTCTCACCTGTCCTCCAGTTCCCACAGGCAGTTTCCTACCAAACCCAACACAGCAGCCTCTAATGTCCCTGCAGCCGGCCCTGTTTTCCTCACACCCATTCTTCCTCTGCTGCCATTCTTCATTCAGTAAATACATAAATACTTTGTGCCAGGGACAATTCTAGGAATTCATCAGTAAACAAGACCAAATACCTGCTCCAGCAGAACTTACCTGCTATAGCCAGAGGTCAACCCAACAAAACAAACATGCCCTCATCACTTTCCTGCTTTAAAATCCCTCAACAGCAACCTAGCTTCAGGAGAATCCACTCTGCTGGCCCACTGGAAAAACAGAACCTAAGTAAAATTCTGGCCTTCTAAACCTGGACAAGTAAGCTACCCAATCTCAGCTTAGGTTCCCCCATGTATAAAGGAAGGACTTTGATGTCTTCCTCAAGAGTTTTACAGATTAGAGAAAACTAAGTGCCTACAGAGCCTGGCACATAAGACCCTCATAACATGGTCTGACTGTCTCTGTACCTGATTGCCAAGCATACATACTACACAAACTTTATGTTCCAAGAACTACGTGTAGTTCTACCCAATTCCCACACTCTCTACCCTGCAAATTCTCTCATTTTCTCCCTCCCTCTCTCACATCTCTGTGACAGGCCGAACTCCTACTCGCCCTTCAAGATTCAGTTCAGAAAGCACCTTCCTCCAGGAAGCCTTCTATAATGTCTGCCAGGAAGAGGTGAATTGTCTTTTCAGTGCCCCCATAGTTCCACAACACAAATAATTCATTCTCCAAGGCAGGACAGTTGAGAGTGAAAGGAGGAACTGCAGGAACTGCTTATGCCTGGACGATAAGCAGGAACCAGGATGTCTGTTTACAGTTATACATACATCTATGGTAGCATCTATCAGGTCTATAGTAAAACTGTTCATGTGTCTAGATCTTCCCCATATCCAGAAGACTGTGAGTTCCTCAGGAGCAAATCTCATCCATCTTTGTATTCCAAGAAACTAAGTACCAAGTTAGGCACTGCTGACTTAAACCCACAATGAACCCTAAGACAAACTTCTAATGTTCACTGTCACAGATATATTTCTTTGATATTAATGAAGTGTAAGCTGAGCTAGTGAATTTTTGTAGGATACCTTTTTAAAAAGAAGCAGGAATCTGAAAAAATAATTACCAATTATTTAAACAATAATTACGAAGAGCTTGAGAATCTAAGACAGAGGAAACAAAATCTCTAAAGGGAAGTTATATTAAAAGGTACAAAGTATTCACTTTTCTCAAAACTGTATATGCCTAAAGCTTTCAGTATAAGGACAATTCAGCACTGTTCTATTCCTAGTCTTTCTAGAACACACTTTAAAGAAAAGGGGAAAAAATCTCTCTCCTACTTCAAAGGCGGAAAAAAAAAATGTTTGAAGTAAGAATGGTCAGTCATGAATCAAAGTGAAAGATAAAGCCCTGAAAAGAAGAGTTCCTCAAAGCCAGGGGAACCCATTGAAGGGTGTTAGATCTACAGGGAAATCCCCTTGGCTATTTTTCCCCAAACAAATTCTTCCTAAGAAGCAGGCGGATTTACATCCATCCAACCCCCTAAAATCGACCTCTTCCATCTAAGGAAGACAATACTAAAAAAATGTTTGCAAGAACATCATTTACTTCTCAACATTATTAACATTTGCAAAAAATCAATCTCCTGGGGCCTACTGCTCCACCAAAATTCTCCAGAAATCTTTCCTTTCCTACCACAATACTTTTTTAAGGGGTTCCCAGGATCACTTGCCATTTGAGCAAGGTCAGAAGCAATCTGAAACACCCCCAAGCAAGTGCACCTGGTTGCCAAGGCAGGTGCTTCACATCTACCTGTCCAAAGAGCAGTTTGCTCTGGCGCCCTCTCGTTGGGGCTTACTCTAGTCAAGCTTCTCTCTGTCCTGTGTGAGCTCCCACAAACTCTGCAGCACTCAGGTTGTTACAGCATTTTTTTTAGTGGGGAGAGGACTCTGAAAGTTCTCCCTCACCCACCAACAAAAATTCTTAAACAAAAAACAACAAAAGATAGGCAAAATTATGCACTGTGTTCCCACATGCTATCTCACATTTTTAGGTGCACCACAAAGTAATTTTTCATGTTAACTATTTTTAATGAAGAGCCACAGAAGGGAAAAAGAAAGCTTATTTATATAATTGGATATAAAGTTGAGCTAATGATAAAACAGAGAGCAACCTAGACACTGAAGTTCAGATCACAATAAATTAAAGAACCTAAAGAGGCTTAACAGAACAGTGGACCCCAAATTCCTAGTCCTTCAACTTGTAAGAGCCAAACCAAGAGAGCTTTGAGACGCAGACTTTAGAATTGTGCCAGAACATAAATAACAGGATTTAAAGGTACTTTCACCTACCTGTACCAAGTAAAACTCTGGCAAGAAAATTTCCTTTTTGGCGCCATGAGCCTTTAGCACCTGCGTAACAGGAACTCAGAAGAGAATTTCAATGAACACCCAAGACTCAGCCTAGAGGAGAAAGAGAATGCATCCTTTCGGCTCTCCTCTACTCTCCTTTAGGCCTGAATTTGTTTTCAGGTGAAGCAAAACTGGAGAAATCCTGAAAGTCAGCAAAGCTTTCAATTTTGACTGAATCAGAAAAAACAATTAGGAACTTCAAATTTCATACACCAAAACAAATTAACTTAAGCACAAAACTTCAGCACACAAACATTGTTATTTCTGCTTCTTGGGTAACAAATGCCTGGGGAAAATGATCAGGAAAATTCTCCTCTAAACCCAACAGCTTTAATTCTTGCTAGTCAATGACTCGAGTTTTACATACTTCAAGCAAAGATGTACCACAGATTTGTAACAACCCCCAACACAGATTCTTGCACAACACCTTTGAAGCAGGAACCACACTTGTGAATAAAGGGTCAGAAGGTTAAGCTTCATGTTCCACTGAAAGTGACCTATAGCAATTACATATAAACTACAGGATGTCAAGAGACAAGTAATGCCCACCTGCACTATAACCCTGCTCTGTGACAGTTCTAAAGAAGTGACATCTTTGGGAGAAGTAGAACCCATTACTACTGCCATCAGCGAGATTTTGTAAGAGCATGTCCCAAAGCATGTGTTTTGTGGGTGCAAAACCAAAAGGAAGACATTTCACTAACAAGGCCTCTTGACACCTTGAAAACAGAAAATTCCCAATTCCTCTAACTAGGCAGCTTCAAACACTCAAATTATTCTCTCCCTTGCTAAGTCCTCAGTGAGCAGTGTCTTCAGACACTTGGTCTTTGTCCAACACTTCATGTATACATGCACCAGGACACTAAGGAACAGAGAACACACACACAGATACATTCTTTGCAAAGTGTTGTCAGTCCTCTGCCTCCCTCCAGTCTAGCTTATGAAGTAAAACACTCCAGTCAGCCTTTCTCAAAGTGCAGTCCATGGGCCACCTGCGTTAGAAACCAACCCAGGCAGCTGGTTAAAAATGAAGATACTAAAGCAGTACTCCAGAATCTCAGACTCAGGTCTTAAGCAGGCCTTAGAACCAGCATTCCTAACAACCTCCCCAGGTGTCCCCACAGAACCCTAAAGTTGGAGTACCAATGCACAGGGTTCAAGTGGGAGTAAACACTGATTCACACCTGGTAAACTCCACACACCTGGTTCAGACTGTGAAAGCTCAAAATGCCACTCTCGTCCTTGGAACTGGGGGCGCTTCCCCACCCCTGCAGTCAAACGCACCACCCCCTAGCCCACCAGGAAACAAGGGAGGAGCTTCCGACCCTTCCCGGAAACCTAACTCCCCCAGAGTACATAAACCAAGCTTCCCCAGACCCCCAGACGCTGCCAAATCGTGGGGGAGGGGAGGCTGGGGCTGTGCCGCCAGGAGGGGGAGGAGCCAGCCTACCAGCTCGCCCCTCCGCAGGAATTTAGAGGGGGGGCGGTCGTGCAGAAAAAGGCGCCACATCCAACGCGGCGGGGGACCTTTCCCCACCCAACGCTTGCTTTGGGGGGTAGTCGTGATCTGGAGAAGAGTGGCCCCGCCCCTCTTGCGGTGGGCAGGGCTTCGCCCCTCCCCCCCCGTGGGGGTGCGCGGAGAGCCCACCCCCACCCCCTCAAGCGAGCCCCCTAGGGCGGCCCGCCTTACCAAGCGCGCGGCCTCGGCCCACGTGCGCTCCTTCTTCCTCTTCTGTTTGTCCTTCATCCTCCTCTTCCTCCTCCCAGGCGGCGGCGGCTCCACGCGGGACCTCCGGGCGGGGCGGGCTGGGGAGGCGACGGTGCGGGGCGGCGGCAGCGGCGGGGGGCGCGTGGCGGCGGCGGCGCGCGAGAACTCGGGTGCGGCCGGAGATAGGGGGCGGGCGCGCAGGGACCGACTGGAGCGAAACCCGGCGCGAGAGCGGTGATGGGGGAGGGGTGGCGGCGGCTCCACGCGCCCGCGCTGCGTCAGTCGCCCACGGCAGCGGCAGCAGCCCCACGATCGCTAAGGAATGCAGCGGCTCTGCATAACCACGGGGTCAAAGGTCACGGCTCCGGCCTGCCCCCCGTTTTCCCGCTCTGCTAAGGGTCCAAGACTGGACTGGCGGCGGAGACGGGAAGGCGAGACGCAGCTTTCCTTTCGGCGCCCGGGTGTGTGAGTGTCTGCTGTGGGTGTGTGTGAGTGTGTGTGAAGAGTGAAGGGGGGGAGTATGGGGGTTTTTTTTTTTTTTTGAACAAAAACAAACCGAAAGGACTACTGGGAATCGTAGTCCCGGCTGCCTCTCTGGACTCCCCCGCTCCGGAAGAATATGGCTGCATGAAACGTTTGGACCACACCTCCCGGCGTGCCCCGCGGCTCGCCTTTCCGCCCTCCTCTCCCTCGGCCTCTCAGAGCTTGTTAAGGAAGAGAGACTGGCAGATATTCGGGGAAGGCTGGGCGGAGTCTCGCGAGGTGCGGGAATTGGCTGGGGGCCTGATGCATTCTGGGAGGCGATGCTGGGAAGAGGCGGTGGCTGGGCTTCCCCAGCCACGTTTAACCCACTCGGTACTTTTCGCCACGGAGGCACCGGGCGGGTTAGGGTGGAGAATCGAGAGTTGATAGCTCTATTCCCAGCATCCACTTCATGCTTCTACCCGCCTAAGTGGTTCTCCCTGATAGCTGTCTTCGATGACAAGAGGCAGGGCTTTTTCCCTTATGGTCCTCCCTTAAATGACTCACTGCTGCATAATAATGAGACACTCATATCAGTAAAACGGTTATTCCACAATTGATGGACCTAGGCCGTTCCCCATTTCTTCCTGTGGCTTCATGTAGCTATGTTTAACAAGACTATGCTTGCAGAATCTGCACTCAGCAGCCTAGAGCGTTGGTGAATTTGGTGATATGGTGACAGGTAGTATGAAGAACTTGGGTTTGGGAGCCATGCAACAAAGAACGCACCTGATGCCTTTGTCGAGGCGGTATCCTGGAGAGACCATGGCCCTGGAGCCAAACAGACCTATACTGAATCCTGGCTGAGGCATTCCCTGGCTATCGACCTAAAATTAGGTGCTTAACCTCTCTGAGCCTCAATTTTCTAGCCTACATTAGTCTATTACCTCCTAGCATTATTTGGACTAAAATTAACATAAAACAACCAGCAGATTGGAAGAGGGTGTGAAGGGGAACCTTGATATTAGGTCTATATAATTTGGCTGCTGGCTTAGAACAAATGTTTAATCATTGGTACCAGCTGAGAGACAATGGCCAGCACTTAAGTAACAGGGAGGCAGTCAATGGCTACATTTTAAAGGATTCTCTGGGTGAGGAAACACCCTGTACTCCCTAGTGTTGGCACAGGGGAGAGCCGGGGTTTAGAGAAGGCACATTGCATGGCCCAACACTGCAGAGTTCAGTGCTCCTGCTTCTAAAGCTTGTCACAGAGGCTTCTATAAAATCCTGCAAAGTGAATAGACTGTAGAAGGTGAAATAAAGCATATTTTTCAAGTCTTCTGTGCCCATCTAACTTTCCTCCACCCCAAGATGGAGGAAAGGAAGACCCACCAAATCCCCACCCCAACCATCAAAAAATGGTTGGCCTAAATTTTTACAAAGAGTTTTTTGTTTCATTTTTGTTTTCAATTTACAGCTGACACAGTAACCCAATTTGACAAGTCGTTCAGCTTGTTTCAAACATTTGCTTCTTGAGTAGCTTCACACCCCTCTGACTTCCAAGAAATAACAAGAAGATTCACTCTAAAATGTACATGTTTAGCCACGGCTGGTGTGGCTCAGTAGATTGAGCACTGGCCTGTAAACCATGAGTTCGCTGGCTTGATTCCCAGTTGGGGCACATGCCAGGTCCCCAGTAATTGGGGGTGGGCTGTGAGAGACAAACACACACTGATGTTGCTCTCCTCTCTTTCTCCCTCCCTCCCCCTCTCTTAAAAAATAAAATAATGTACATTTACTACAGGAATGCACTGTGGTAGTCCTAGTCCCTGGAGCTGTTACATTCCATGGCAAAAGGTGAGCTCAAGTAACCATATGGACCCTTAAAAGCAGAAGGTAGAGAAGAATCAGATTCCAAGTTGTAGAGGTCAAACCACTGACTGTTCCCAACTGATGGGGCTGAGGGGGCCCTGAGCCTGGCAATGTAGGCAGCCTCAGAAACTGACAATAAGCTCTGCCAACAAGTAAATAGGACCTCAGTCCTACCACCTTTCAGAACTGAACTTTGACAACCTGAATGAGTAGGAAGTAGGTTCTCCCACACTCTAGGCTCTGCAGAAAGGAACACAATCCTGCCAACACCTTCGTTTTTAACGTTTTCGGATTCAAAGCAGAAAACCAATTGAGCAGCACTGTGGTCAACTTCTGGCCCATAGAAAGTGATATGTAAATGGATATTGTTTTAAGCCACTATATTTGTGGTAACTTAAAATAGCTAAGGAAGGCTAATGTAGGCACCGTGGAAAACGCCTTTATCTACTTTGCAGCCAGTACTGCCTAGTTTTCACAGTTGAGTCAAGCCATGGGAAAATCCAGATGTGAATATTTCATGGTTTCTGTCCTTGAGGAATCAAACAGAAACTGATGATGTCTTAGTTAAGAGTAAAAAACAGAATATGTTTAGAAGACTGTACAAGGTATGTGTTGAAAAACTGGCTTAAGCATTAAGTCTTAAGTAGCTGTGATGTTTTTCTTAAAGTCAATGAGACTAATGAGTCTCTTGTTAGAAGCACCAAAAAACAAACCTATACATTTTTTGGTGTCTGTTTCTCCAATTTTGTCACAGTACCTTTGAAGTCAAACAGGTGTCACAGGACAGTGGAGGGTAAACAGGGCTGATATTCAACCCTGTTCTGTCTGGGGATGAGTCACCGTTTTCAAACTGCAGTTAGGACCAAAGCACACATTCAGAAATCTGAATAACAAACATGTCCCCAGCAGACACCTAAAAATTCCCAAGAGGACACACCTTGTTCCCCCACAGCCCAAACCTCACTATGAGATAATGTATTGCCACTGGCTTTGAACTTCAAGCAGGCCTGGGTTTGCATCTTTGGGCATTCTCCAGCTTGGAGAATGGCCTTGGTAATGTTATGAAACTTCTCATTGACCAGTGCCATCATTTGGACAACAGTGTACATAACAACTCAAAGGATGGAACTGGGATTAAATGAGATCTTTGTAAACATTTTGCACACAGTAGACTCGAAATAATGCCAGACCTCTTTGCCTCAGGAGAGATTTAGTATCTGAAATGTAAAAAGTGCCTCATTTTTTTTTGTAGATTTATCTTTTAGAGGAGAAGGGAGGGAGAAATGGAAGGACACGTCAATGTGTGCAAGAAACATCAATGGGCTGCCTCTCGCACGCCCCCACCAGGGACCTGGTCCAAAACCCAGGCATGATCCCTGACCAGGACCTGAACCAGTGACCTTCTGGTGCACAGGCTGGTGCTCAATACCAGCGAGAGCCAAAAGTGCCTCATTTTTCTACTTCAGTGAACCAAGCCCTGGAACAGTTTGCCACCCTAACAAATGTTATCTCTCAGTAACTCCATTTTGAATTGAAGTTGAGGTTCAGAGAGGTCAACTTATCTCCCCTTGGTCCAAGATGATAAATGAGATCACATTTGCTAAATTTCCAGCATAACATAACCAACACATGTATCATCTCCCTTCCAGGCCCGCCCTCCCTCCCTCCCTTCTTGCCTTTGTATGATTTCTGGTTTAGTGTCTTGTTCTTGCTTTCGTCACCACACTCCCAACATCTGGCACAGTCTTGGCACAAGGGAGGCACTCAGTTGTTGAATGAATGACCTTATTCAATAATTACTTTATTGCACACATCCGCAGATGACTAATTTCCCATTGAATGAGCCCTAAATGGTATTTAGAACTTGCCCAAGCAGAATTGGGAAAGACTAAGGCAGGATTTCACCCAAACATATTTGCGCAAGTGGAAAAGATGCTCAGGAACAGAGACTTCACTGTGGTCTTCACTGTATCTGCTCATGTGGTGGCCGGCCCTCACTCAGCTTCCCTGCTGTTCCTCATTTAAATCCACTCCTTTTAATTCATTGTTTAAATTCAGTCTCCCATGAGGCTGAAAACAGTGTTTAAATTCCATTTTACTCCTCCAAAATGTTAAGAATGATTATTTCTGGGCTGTCAGACTATGGTTGATTTGGGGGGCTTTTTTCTACAAAGTATTACATTTTTTAATTTAAAAAATTCTTTTCCAGTTGACCCATAAAACAGCATTTAAAGTGGTAGATATGTTTTTTGCTTTTTCACATTTGTTTTTATTTTCCAAATGTTCTAGAATAAGTATGTGCTACTCTTACTCATCTGATGAATAAATAAAAATTCTAATGCTCAGCAGTGTAAGAACATTCTTAATAAGTTTTCATTTTACTTTAAAAAATTTGTGGGACCACCCCCAAAAGTGGCCACAAAGGATGATGACTTGAGCTAGTTTTTGCCAAAATTGTGGAAAATTACAGCCCCTGCCTGATTCTTTAAGGTTTTCAGGTGGAGATTTCAGGATTTTACTAAGGAGCTTATGCCAATTTTTAAACTCTCCTAATACCAGAGGTATAAATGTACTTGTATCAATCATAAATCTTTTTTAAAGATTTTATTTATTTAATTTTAGAGAGAAAAGGGAGGGAGAAAAAGAGAGAGAGAAACATTAATGTGTGCTTGCCTCTCGTGCATCCCGTACTGGAGACCTGGCCCGCAACCCAGGCATGTGCCCTGACTGGGAACTGAACCAGTGACCTTTTGGTTTATAGGCCGGTATTCAATCCACCAAGCCACAGCAGCCAGGGCTCTACCATAAATCTTAGTAGCCTCAGTGTAAGCCAGTTTCTCTAGTCTTTCTCTGTGAAGAAGGAATAGAAACTTTAAAGTGCATTTTAACACCAGAAATCTAAAAATGATTGTGCTAACGTATGAGATTGTTAGATGAGTTATTTCTTCATTTTCAATGTTTTATTATGAAAACATTAACTTATACCCTGCCCCGAATGGCTTTTCTTCCTCCTCTTCTCTGATTGCTAATGTCTCAATGATAAGTTAAGGCCTTTTGCAGGCCCCAACTCCTGAATACCACAACCACCATCCGTGGGACTGAGAAAACAGGCAGGGCCAGTGAAGGGAGGGAACTTGTCCAAGATCACGCAATTTGTTA